ATATGAAGCATCCAATGACGACGATCACGCAATGGAAATTATGATTAAGGACTCATTCTCAGTTTCTAGAACTACCAATCAAGTACGTGAATCTGATGATTTGGACGATTTGGATGATTTAATTAATCGTACTGAAAATATCAAACTAAACTATGAAACTGAATCAGGTACAGACGATGAAACTGATTCATCTTCTGATGGAAAGGGAGAATTTACTTCAGTTTCACTCAATACACCTTCAGATAATAGAAAATCCAACAGTTCCAGAAGAATAATCGAATCAGATTCCGATAATTCTGACGAGGAAATTTCACTCAACACCACAACAGTGAAACCAAATTCTTCCAACAACTCAACGGTCAACTCTGGAAAGATTATCCTCAAAGATCACCACTCTGATTCAGATTCAGATTCTGAACAAGATGATGAGGAAGAACTTGTTGGAGCAACCTTCTCAGTCAAACCAACAATTTCACTCCAGCAGTCAACCAACTCTGTTTCACTCAATTCACCAGGATCTAATTTATCAACACCATCCACCAAAATCAAAACAAGAATAAGCAAAACATCAGACAAGACCAAACGTGTTAAGAAGAATCAATCTACATTCAGAAGAATGCATCGACTTGTTGAAGGTCAATTAGAAACTTTGGGCATTGAAATTGAATAAAGAATTAAACTTTGTACTATTACCATTAGATTGTATTTATATTTAGTGCATCATGACTAACCTCTTCCCCTTCATCTTAGCTTTGTTGTGGTGCAGCATTTCGGAAGAAGATAACTAATTGATTCTCTTTAATACCAAACACAATTGCTATATTATTAATACACAACTTTAAGTCTTCTTAACGTTTTGGTTGTTGTGATTAGGTGTTGTTGTTTGAGTATTCACAGGTGAATCTTCATCTTTGAAATAATGTTCAAGTGCCAAACAACAACAAGTTGGTGATATTATTTCGCATTAGTATTTCTATTACTACTTACAGTTTAATAGAATATATTCTTTCATCAAAACCATTACAGTTTGTCTAATCTGTCTGCAGGTAGGAAAAACAACAAATAGAGGGAATTCTATAAGAGAGGAAAGACAAGTCATGTAACTGTGTAATATAATAGCAATTAATACGTATATTATTTATTGATTTAAGGATCTCAATAAATATTTCAAATTATTTCAAAATTGTAAAATTTAAATATTTTTTTACAAAATACTGCCAGAGTTAAATATTTCCTTTTTTGAACTAGAAACCAAACACAATATGAAATTCATCATGATTAGACATCACACCGTACGTATTTATTGGCTTTATTTCAGCTTTAATCAAATGATCATGAAAATATTAATACCTAAGTCAAAAGCAATTTTTTTGAAAGCAATACGATTTCGAATTAGAAATTTTGAACATTTCCTTTTTGGGATTCACTTAAGAAAACATGAATTAAAAACAATCAAATCATCCCTCCAGAGGTATTAAACACTTTTAATATATAACATATGGCGAATTGTAATCAGTCTCAATAGATAAATATGTACATCTTCATCCAACCCAAATCCTTAATTTTCAAGTTGGAAGGAATTATTAATATCAAAAGCACTTATTTGAATTTCAATGGTGGTGTGCATAATCATTGATATTATGTAAACATTGTAGTTTAGATAACATTCTCAAACTCTAATGAGTTGGAAAGAAGTTGTGGCCAAAAATTCGAAACAGGTTTATTTTTTTTACAGTGGCGGAGCGGATATCATATCACATAATCTTTCTATTTAGTTAACTTGCATACTTGAGAGATTCATACAAGATATTGTACTACTTTTTGTTGCCGAGAAAAGGTTTACCCGAGCTAAAGTCTTACGCACCAGGTTTTACAGTACTCTGCCTTCAACTCATCTCCTTTAAAGTGGGTAATAACCTTATTAATAATTCCACAGTAAACCATCTGGAAATTGTCCTTTGAATTTCCAAACCGTAACACGCTCTGCTGTTCACGCCACGCACCTTCACGCTATCCTTAGTAAAATCAATCTATACAGCCTTAATCAAAAAAGTGTTTGCTGGCAATTTTTCGTAAATATTGAGTGGCGCTCAAATCCGTTTTTTGATTAAAAAAAATGCAAGGAAGAACGCTACTGCTTTTCTCGCTCATTCTTTTATGTGTGCTAGCTTGTTGTTGTGTAGAGAATGTTACTGCTGAATCATGGAGAGGTTTCTTGAGTCAATCTATGCAAGTTACAAATGGTAAGTGGAGTGTAATTTGACATTTTGGAAGAATTAAGCATTATGATCATTATTCATATTTAGGAAAATTATTTTCATCATCAAAAAGATCACAAGTTGTTTGTCCTCCAAATACCTTTGGAAGTAAATGTAATAATAAGGTGAATCTACCAGATACATATCCTCTCAAAAAAGGTCCGTTAATGATTGGCCAGATGGAGATTAATGATGGAAATTCTTATTCATGCGAGTGGACTTTTTTTGTTTTAGAATTTAATCAAAGTTTTAGTTATCCCTGTTTTTTTGTCGTAGCCGATACAACTGTTCCACCAATCAATTACACTCTAACCTATTCAGTGTGGTCTGCAGGTTTCATAATTTTTTCAAAGGATGTTGTGTTTATTG